AAAAAACCCCCGCCACGAAAATGGTGGCGGAGTGGTTGGCTCGGGCAGAGCCGCCATTGTGTCCCGAGGTTGTTCGGTACATGTTGGACGCGGATACGTACACATGGAGCATGAGGAAGAGTAAGGCGAATTGGTTTAGGGTTATGCGAATTTTGGCGTGGCCCGTGGGATTGGTGAAATGGTTGAATGACATACGAGGATGGAGGAATCCGGCGACGACAATTCTAGTTCACATCTTGTACTTAGTCCTTGTCTGGTACCCGGATTTGGTAGTCCCGACGGCGTTTTTATACGTGGTAATGATCGGGGTTTGGTATTACCGGTTTAGACCCAAGATACCGGCTGGTATGGATACTCGGTTATCTCAAGCCGAGATGGTAGACCCTGATGAACTAGACGAAGAGTTCGATACGATACCGAGTTCGCGACGGCCCGAGGTGATACGGGCGAGGTACGATCGGTTAAGGATCTTGGCGGTGAGAGTTCAAACGATCCTCGGCGATATCGCGGTCAAAGGGGAACGGATTCAAGCGTTGGTTAGTTGGAGGGATCCGAGGGCGACGAAATTGTTCATAGCGGTGTGTTTGGCGATCACGATAGTTCTATACGTGGTTCCGGCCAAAATGGTGGCCGTGGCATTAGGGTTTTACTACCTGAGGCATCCGATGTTCCGCCACTCGATGCCTCCGGCGAGTATCAATTTTTTCCGGCGGTTGCCGAGCTTGTCCGATCGGCTGATGTAGTGAAGAGACGAGGAAATGGAACAGAGACTTAAGCTAAATTCCCAAATAAGACAGGGTTTTGGAAGCAGCCGCCATGGTTTTTTAATCACTATTTGTTGCTATTTTTAATTGTTTTTTATTAATATAATTGTTTTTTTAGAAATGAAAAAACAATTAAATGAGATTGAGGCCGACTATCCAAGCTTTTTTGAAAAGAGAGTTGGGGTACTTGTCAGAGGCTTTTTTGACAAATTATGAAATTTTCAGTGAATTGAAATTTTGCTAACCCTTTTATTGCATTTAAATTTTTTTATTTATCTTGTATTATATGCTGAAGTTGGGTGGTGATTAACTAAACAAAACAAAAGTATCATTTTTTAAAAAAATGAGATCACCGCAATTAAACAAACAAAAGTTTAACTTACTATACTCAAAAGGGTTTAAAGAAAATCAAGACAAATAATCCATACAAAAGCGAATTTGAAGTAACTTGTTGCAAGAGTGGTTGAGCCTTCTTAAAACCAAACCCTAACTAAACCACAAATTTGCAAACTTTCTTGAATACCCACAAAAAAAAAAAAAGCTCTTGAAGCAAAGTGATGAAGCCAAAAAAAAAAAACACAAGCCCAGAAAATCCCCCTTGTTGATGAGAAGAAGAAGAACCATATGCTTTTTTTTATGAAATGTAATAAAAATAAATAATATGTACCAAAAGATTAAACTGGAACTGACTGTCCAGTGAGGGCATCATGAAGATGCAATGATCCATCTTTCATCAAGTTTAGGCTTAAGCTTTTGAATCTCTCTCTCGAGTACTGTCTCGATGCCTTTCTCCAGTCTGTTCCTGCTTTCATCATCGCCACGAATTCATCATAGTTTATTCTCCCGTCCTGAAAATCATCACACAATGTATATTCAGAAACGGAATTTTAGTTTATGAATCCCACATCGAAGAAATATGGGCTTCATTCTCTCGCAGGCTATATAAGGCTAAATATAGTTTTGGCTGGAGGAGGATCTGTGTAGAGTTTCGGATTGAACCTTGTCAGTGTCGACTTCACGCATTATGTCGTTTAGGACATTGTCGTCTGGTTCACCCGCATCGTCCGCTAAAGCTTCCCGTAATTCATCCATTTCAATGTGTCCGCTGTTGTCTTTGTCGAAGAACATAAACGCTTGTCTGAAATGCTCATCATTCTCCATCTTCTGCAAGTGAATAATCACTGCTACAAATTCTCCATAGTCCAAGAATCCATTCCCATTAACATCCGCCTGCGTAAAAATCACACAACTTTCAATCAAATCTTGTATCGGAGAGTCATAAACGTGAGACGGGTCACCGAGAAATTACCACTTCCATCAACATTTTGATCTCTGGCTCGCCCAGTTGTGAACCAACCTTGCGGAGTCCGGCTCTGAGTTCTGTGTAGGTTATTCTTCCGTCATTGTCATTATCCATGAGTGTAAACATGTCCCTGATCACTTCAACCTCTTGAATTGACAAATGCTCTGCAATTACCTGAAAGCATCAAAAGGGTGAGACAGATTACTGAACAGTCAACTGCCGGAATTTTCAGCTGAAAGGAGTTTCGATGCTTACTCTAAGTGCTTTCTTTTTGAATCTATTCATAACCGAGAACTGCTTCAATCTTGACCTCACGATATCTCCTAAAGGTACATTTGGAGCTTTCTTTGCATTCTGTATCCAAGGATGTTCTGAAATGGAGGAAATAGAAATGATCATTGACCCGAATAGGAGCAAACATCATTCTTAGAAGAAATCGAAAGAAAGCCGAGAGTTCTCGCCAGTAAGATCACGATGATCCTCCATCAACAGACTGGTAAACAACATATACAAATCTAATCTTGTTTGACGTCTTGTCACAAAATGAGTCAAGGACATTACCAAGAACTTGCTGGGCAGTCAAACGCTTGGTTGGATCCGGATCCAACATCTGCTTCACTAGACTCTTAGCACTCTCCGATATCTGCGGCCAAGGTTCTCTCTTGAAATCAAGCACTCCCCGCAAGATCGCAAGAGCAACGCCTTGTTCAGTTTCTGCAAATCAGAAAACCAATATCATAAGTTTATCTAAACGACATCAATCGCATAAACCTTCTAAGCAGATCGAAGAGCTGAAAATGCTGACCAGCCCAAAACGGAGGAACACCACAGAGCAAGATGTAAAGAATCACTCCGGCACTCCACACATCGACCTCCGGCCCGTAATTCCTCTTCAACACCTCAGGAGCCATGTAATAAGGACTTCCTACGATCTCCGTAAATCTCTCTCCTGTGTAATCCAAAAGAAGTTCACAAGCATATTCAGAGGAACATTAACATTTTGAAGACAAGGCACTTAACAACGTGATCTGATTATGACCGCGAACACACCATTGAATCCAGAGCAAGCATACAAGTAAAACTCTTGAATGGGCTCAGAATCAAAATCCCAGAAAGGGAAATGAAGATTACCAGGTTTGAAGAAGACAGAGAGCCCGAAATCAATGGCCTTAAGAGCCGAATTCTCCTTCTTATTAGCAAACAAGAAGTTCTCAGGCTTCAAATCTCTATGCATAACACCATTGGAGTGACACATCCTCACGACCTCAGCGATCGTCCTCGCGACGGCGGCCGCAGCACGTTCCGTGTAATGACCTCTCGCGACGATCCGATCGAAGAGCTCACCGCCTTCGCAGAGCTCCATCACCAGATGGACATTCTCGTTGTCCTCGTACGACGCCTTGAGCTTGACGACGTTTGGATGGTCTGGGAGCGTCGACATGATCGCGACCTCGCGTCGGACATCCTCGATGTCGATGGCTGTCCGAAGCTTCCGCTTGGAGATCGATTTGCAGGCGAGGGCTTCGCGGGACTCGCGGTCAGTACAGAGGTACGTGATCCCGAATTCGCCGCGACCGAGCTCGCGACCCAGGATGTACTTGTCGCTGATCTGGGTTCGGTTGCTCATCGGGATAACGTCCTTGAGGACACGAATTGTGGCATGAGTTCGAATCGGGTCGAATTCCGCAAACGGGTTTGGTTTCCGATCGCGATTGTTCTTCTTCTTCGGCTTCTGGGTCGGCTTCGAATCCTCGGGCTCGAGCCTCACGCACGCGTTACAGTTCCCCATGGCCGAGTCAAACTAAGTAGCAGAGGAAGAGGAAAAAGCGGAACACCACAGCGACGAAAAAAAAGAAGAAGATGGTTATCAGAATGAGAGCTTATCCCCTAGGGTTTCACAGACGGAGGCGGAGTGGAGATTTTACGGCGGCAGAGGAATGTTTTCCGGCGAGGTGGTGGTGGGAGAAAACGCGGGGTCAGCAGAAGAAAAGTTGGCGTTTCGAAAATTTCAATTTGACGATGCTAAAAAAAGTTTATTTTATAATAAAAAATTATATGAATGATTAATAAGAAATTGTTTCGGAGATAATCTATGCCCCATGGTCCATCTTTTTTGTTAATAATAATAAAAAAAATAAAAATAAAATCTTGCTTCATTTTAATCTATCTAGAAGGGAGGAATAGCATGCCGTGATAGTTCACATTGTAGAATGGTTAAAAAAATAGTAGTCGTTGATGAGATGATCCACGTGGCGAAATCAACGGCTGAGATGTTAAAAGAGGTATGTTTGTTGAAGTTGTTGACCAGTGAAGTGGATACGGTGACATTGTCAAAAAGTGTGACGTTGGTTTCAGTTGGTCTGCAACAAAACAATCTAAAAACATTGCGAATTATATTTAAATAAATAATAATAATAATAAAAGTTTGGAGAGTTTAATTTAACCTTTGAGTACACATTATATCCTCTTTTAATTCCTTTACTTCTTCACCAAGTATATAATATATTGCGTATTATAGAGCCTGATAAGTTTTATATTTTGTTTCATGACATTTTTCATTAAAAAAAAAAAGCATATATCTATCTTGTTTTTCATTTGTATATTTTGTTACTTTTATATTATCTCAATTTGGATCTATTTGAAAAATTATAATAAATTAATTTATAGTTAATGTATTCATATCTAATTAGTTATTATTTGTTTCTTTTTTATCCCATTCTTGAAACCATTGATATAAGTGTGTCTTGACTTTAATTCGACCAAAATTTTAAAAATATAATGATAATATTTTTTTTAAAAGTTGTGAATGTTTTACAATAAAACGATTCATTTTGTAAATGCTTCTAAAAATGACATGCATCAATATGACAATTTAAATAAAATTTGGGGGAAAAAAATTATAGTCTAATCAATTTAAATGGAAAATATATACCAAAAAAGATTTTAAAACAGAAAATAAATCTAAGATCCCAATATATTAAACATAAAATCTATTTTTCATTATTTTCCCTTACTTAGAAATTAGATATAGATAAAAAAAAACAATCTAGTACAATTATCCCTATAATTTTAATGTCGGCATGTCTCTCTTAGCATTTAAAGTATTAGTGAAAAGATTCGGTAAAGAAATTGGACTTCCAACGAAATGTAATTAATGGGAGACGAAATCGAAAAGAATTAGGTGTGGACTTTGTCAAAAGAAATTAAAAAACAAAATAGACATTTTAATAATAATACTAATAATGAAGATTCCATTATTGAAAGTCAAGAGGAGAAATCAACGGCGACAACTTTTCAGAAATTGAAATGAACTATTATGTTGTCGAATATTGATCTGAATCCTACCAAATAAACTGTCATCCATCATGATTTATCATTTAAATGACATTGATAACTCTAGGGCTACATGCTATTTATTTATTATACGCTATTGAATATCTATTTTATTAAGGTTTTTCTTAATTTTGAAGTAAATAGTATAAAAAAACGATGGGCCATGTTTATCTTAAATGCAACTTTTAACCTGGCATTTTGGTGATTGATTCGATTGGGACCATGTGTATATATATATATATATATATATTATTATCTGTGTTAGTA